TCATCTATTTAATAAAAAGGAATTCTTATACAGTAATCGGATGCCTGAAATTTATCTCAATAATAATCGATAGAGAATTATTATAATAATGGAATTTCATTTCAATATTTTAACCATTTATTTTTAATTAAACGACTCTGTGCAACGAAATTGAAAATTATTTATTTTTAATTTTATATTGTAATTAATATACCTATATGTATCCGAATAATGGACACTGAAAATATTTATAATTTTTCACTTTTGTAAAAAGCTTAAAATTTTTCTTCATACAATTTTGAAATTAGAAGAAAAAAATTATATATATATATATATATAATATATGTAAAAGAAATCGTCTTTTCAGAAACTTTCAATATACACAAACCTGTAACAAACTTAATATCTGCAAGTGAATTTGATCGAGATAAATGATTTCCGGAAAGTTGAGTTTATACACGCGAGATAAAAAACAGAGATTCGATTAAAAAGACAAGAAGTATCTTTATTGAAATAATTAAAATTCCAAAAACAAATTAAATTAAAAAAAAAAATAAAACAATAAAAATAGTTATTTCAATTTAATATCTTTATATAAATTCAGTTTCTAAAAATAAATTTTTAAATCTTTTTCATTCAATTCAACAATCGATATTTATCAATCAACTTGCAAAAGTTTTATGCCTAGTTGAAAAAAAAAGTAAGCACTGGATAACAATTTTTCAATCTTTTCATGGAAAAATTCATTTTACTTTTATTTGTTTTGTTGTGTTTTTTTTCACACTGACGAAACTAAAATAGAAAAAACGAAATGATTCGATGTCAAGAACGATAAGACTGACTGGTTTCAACTCAGTAAACAGAAAAGAAAAACTTCACGATGAATAACTCTGTTCATCTATTTTTTTACTCTATCTATATTTTACACACATGAAGATCATACAAAAACCCTTTTTCTTTTACCTATATATATATATGTATGATCCAAGGTCGTAAAATTACAAATTCCATAAGTCTTTTAATGTTGTCATTCGTTTTATTGACAAAAAATTTTACTGTCCGAGAAAAATGTGGTATTTTACGACTATTATGACCATCGAAAAATTTCAGCGTAGTACATATGAATATTCAAAACACATTTTCCCTCGAAAGAATCTAAAATAAAAACAAAAAATGTATTTTTGTTAAAAATTTTTAATAAATTGATTTTAATAATAGTAAAACAAAAATTTTTTTAAAACAATTTTTTAGTAACGCAGATATTATATATTTGTCCTCTTAAACTCTAGGAACAAAAGTAGGTTTCTTCTTGTCAGAAAGTAAAGTAATGTTTTTTTAAACCTAGGGAGAAAAAGAATGCTTTTTAACTCTAGGGAGTAAAGTAATGTTTTTTACCCTAGGAAGAAAAATGATACTTTTTAACTCTAGGGAGTAAAGTAATATTTTTTTACCCTAGGAAGAAAAATTACTCTTTTTAACCCTAGGAAGTAAAGTAACTTTTTTTTTACCGCAGGAAGAAAAATGACTCTTTTCAACCCTAGGAAGTAAAGTGAAGCTTTTCAATTACTTTGGGACTAAGATTACATTTTTTTAACCCTAAGGAATAAAATGACGCCTTTTCAAGTTTAGAGTGTAACATAAAATTTCTCGAGAGAGTAATTTCTCTTTACATATAAATGTATAGTTGAAGAATATATGATTCAATAAGGTGAATTTTGAAATTTAAATTTGGAACAATCATTTGTTATTTATAGCATCTGAAACGTTTAGAATATAGAGATCACATTTCGAAGAATCATCACTGCAAAAAGAAGTATCTTAATATAAGATGTTTTGGTAGTCATTTTTAAGATGTTTTGGTAGTAACTTTTTAGTTATTTAAAATATCTTAATTTAAGATGTTAATAGTATCTTCGCCAAAGTGCTTTACATATTTTTGATGAAAAAAATCTTATGTAAGATGCTTAATGTATTTTATATTTTAGTAACTTCAAATTCTGACGTATCTTAGAATTTACAAGCATCTTTTTTCTAAACATCTTATGACCCCACAAATATCTTAATTCAAGTTACTTATAGAAACTTACCGAAGTAACTTACAATTTAAGATGGAAGAAATATTTTCATTTTTGTTAAAACGCAAAAAGCATATTAAATATTAATAAGATACTTTACAAAATATCTTTTTTTAAGGTGGAAGATACTATTTTTCCATATTACATCTTATTGTAAGATACCAAATAAGTCACTTATTTTTGCAGTGATGTTTCTCATATTATAAGGACTCGGCATTCATTTACATATCCCATACACCTGCATAGTTTGTGGAAATACCTGCATTCTCTAGATTCTGTAGGTGCCAACACGAACTCATGGTTGTCACACTAGCTAACCAGATTATTTTGAATCACAATAGAAAGCAAATAGTTGAAATCCTTAATTACTTTTCATTGCTTACAATGCAATGACATTATTTCACTTAATCATAATTAAATCAAAAATTATTACAGAAGGATGAAAATTATGAAAAAGAAGCATAAATCAATTCTTAGCCAATAATAATTAATTTATTATAAATTATGATTTTCATTCCTAGGGTTAAAAAATGTAATTCTATTCCCATGAATTGAAAACCGCCACTTTACTCCCTAAAGCTAAAAATTATAATAATAAATTTAAAAAAATAATATTGTAAGAAACGAAAAACGGAAATAGAAAATTTAAAATTAAGACGTTTATTTAAAAAATGTTTATGCAAATGTTTTTTTATACAATTAAATTATGATTTTAATTGTAGTTTTTACAATTGCAATAAAATTCATTCATTTTAAAATCATTATGATTTTTATTCAAGTGGAACTCTCAATTATAGAATATACACTTATAAATATAATCAAATAATCATAATTGAAAATTGTAGGAAACGTGACGTTTGAAGCATCCGTAGTAATTGTTTTCGAAACCTGTTACCAATTGTATGAAACTACAATGCATGCGAACATGTGACATACATACATTTATGTATACATATGTATATCCTAATTCCTGTACTTGATTGCTGTGTAATTAATTAGTTTCGATATAGTTCTTGCACTCATGCTAAATTGATCTGTAAACCCGGTTTATATATATATGAGAAATTCACAAAAAAAAGAAAGTTCTATAAACAATAAACTTTTACAAAACGTTGCATAAACATATATTTTTTCAAAAAATATAAAATAAAATTTTCAAAAAAAGAATGATTTTTAAAAATACTGAATCATTAATTGGAATTAATTTTAAAATAAATAGAATTATTTTTTTGATTCTTAAAAAGCAAGATTATACAACTCTAAAAAAGAAAATATACTCCTTTGCTAAACAAGAATGCAGAGTATTTAATTTGTTTCAAAGGACTTTCTCAAGTTGGGAAGAAATTCAGAGTATGCATTGCCTTGCAAAAGAGGTGCATATATATATATACCTCAAAATATCCTTGTTTCAGTTTTAATTGTAAAAGGAATAAAGGATTAAATATATTAGCCAATTAATATTCTTGAAACCAAAATATTTTCTTGTTTACATTTAAGAAGATATTTTTTTACTAAACAAAATAAATACCCAACATTTTTACAATAGATTTTTACCTTGATTAAACGTTCGTTTTTAATTGTGTAAAATCAAAATCTGTTTTTATTGAATATTTTGCACTGAAAGAAAAATTTATTTTATTCAAATAATAATCGGTTACTTGACTATTATCAAATAAACATTTTACTTTTATCAAATAATTATTATATTTGAGTTAATAAAATGGTATTTATTTTAAATAAAGAAATTAGTGGTTCAAATACAGTTAAATTCAAATAAAAATTATTTGTTTCAAGTAAATATTTATTTAATAATAGTCAAGTAATCGATTATTTGAATCAAATAAAATTTTTTTTCATTCTAATAGTAACAAATATAACCTAACATTTTTTGCCATACACGGAAAAAAAGGAATTTGCTTAAAGATGCTAACTCTGATGTTTGCTATCGGATCTATCAAAATTAGTAACCACATTTAAATTTTTTGCTATGACAACAAAAAAGTTTGCTATGATAAACAATATCAGTTTTAATTTTTAAAAATTTAGTGTCACAGCAAAATTTTTTTACCCTACAGCAAATTTGTTCGCTATCCCAATATTAGCTAACGTAATTTTGATGTGAGAGCAAATAGTTCGCTGTCACAGCAAACTTTTTCTATGTATGTATAATAATTTAAAGAAACTAGTGTAGAAATTCACCCACTTTGCCCTATTTAAAATAGTTACATATTTCTAATTAATTAATTTATTTATTTATAATAATTTGAAAAAATTTACTTTATGATGTTTTTCATAAATTCCCGCTTTGAATTTTTCTCAAATATGAGCAATATTTTAAAAATAAATTTTTTTTATAAAATATTAATACTTGGGCAAAATTTAATTTAATATGAAAATTAAATATGTAGATATTAATAAATTAATATTCATATCAGTTGTGTCGATATATTCTTTAAATAAAAAAAAAAAAAAATAGAGCGCGTATTCTTTATTCTCTGCATCTTCCTTTCTGTTCTTCAGTTTGAAAAATAAAACAAATGATTTAAATTCCCTGATTTTAACTAGAATTACATTTCAATTTCTTCTAATATATTAAAACTCTCCTTCTATATATAATCGTTAAAACAAACAAATAAAATTCAACTTTTTAATAAAAGTTGAAGAGAAATATAAAAATTCGTTAAAAATTTTTATAAAGTTAGTTATTGAGTTCAATGATCAATTTTAATTTAATTTACTTAAAACTTTATAATTGAAGAAAAAAAGAAGAGGGAAAACTGCACTTTTTTCTTCTCAGCTATATATATATATATGTACTAGTGGAATAGGATTTAATAATAATGAACAGCAGAGATTTAATATGCAAGACTTGATTTATTTTTCGTAGCAGAAATTGACTCGTCTCTTGTCGTTTTAATTAAAATGTGTCGTTAATTTGTTGCACAGATGGTGGAGTGGTGGATGGGTCGAGAGCAGGACCAGTGGTCACCCCAAACACATTGGAATTGACTCCACGAGGTAGAGTGGCTTTACTACAGGCGCCACCGGAAACTGCTCGAGCTTATCTGCCTCCGGAATATCGTCCTGGACGCGTCTACTCTGACACAGATTCTGAAAAGGTATATAAAAAGCTAAATTGTCACATTCGCTCCACACATATATGAATTTACTTTTCAAATATCTCGAGCACGCTAATTTTTAATTTGCAAAAACAACTCACTGCACAATTTCATATGGTATATATATATACAATTTAAATTCGCTGCTAAAAACCAAGATGAGAAATATATTTTAAAAGCTCCTAGCTTTTAACGTTGTTTTTTCTAATAGCAGATTATATCTGATTTCATTTTCTTTTTAATTTCTCTTCAACCAAAAAATAATTATTTGAACATAACGCAAAAATGTTTCTATATAAATGATTTTCTAACTTTTCTAATTTTTACGACAATTCACAAAATGAATTTGTAGAATTTTTAGATTAGTATTTTTAAATTAAAATAAAATAAATTATAATAAAAAAAAAAATTGTTTTAGTGAGAAAACTTTTTAAGGACTAAAAATTTTAATGTCATATTTTTGTTACAAATTCACTGTCTAAGTTTTTTTTTGTATGTCATTTCTAAATTTTATTGTCTCTTTAAATTCTCCAACTGTTTATTACGAGTTGCAAAGAAAGTCTTAAAAATAATTTTACGTTATATTTTCGTTTTTTTAAGAGCAGAAAATAGAAGAACTTATTAAATAATATAACATAATCTATTTTTTTTTGTTGGTTTCATTGGGTTTTATGGGAATTTTCTTTTAAACTTTAACAATTGGCTTATCTCAAGCCGTAATAATTCTTTACGAGCTTTCAAAAGCTTATATATATATATATATATACATAAAAGTTGCAGAAGTTTTTTTCGCAAATAAATTTTGAAAGCAATTTTATACGCGCATATCGATGGAAGAAGTAGGATTAAATGCCCTTGAAAGTAAAAAGGTTTCGTTTTTAGAAATTGTTACAAATTTTATACTTAGATCTTTTTCTATAAAATTATTAAGTTTTTCTTTATATGATATTATTTTCTCAAGTATATATATATATATACTCATAAAATGACTAAGCAAGAAAAAAAGTTACAGATAAATTGGATTTTTTTCAATTTTTTTTTTTTGTCAAAACTTTAATTCACAATGGACGTGTCATATATACTTGCCCGAGGTGTTCGTATTTTTGAGTTTTTAAATTATTTGTGTTTTAATTCAACAAAATGTGAAATATTCAATATTATATAATCGTACGACTTTTCAAGCCAATAATAATAATAATTTATAATAATATTGAATAGCAATGAAAAATAGAAAAAGTAGTAAAAAAAAAACTAAAAGAATTGTTAATAGAAAATATTTATTGAAAAAAACATAATATGTCGATAAATAAAAACTATAGAAATAAAATAATAATTTAAAAAATTTTGTAATAATATTAGAGTTGGTTGAAATGTCAACAAAAAATTAATAAAATTTTATTAAGAGTTATTGAAATGTGACTGATTCAATCAAAGTGATCATTGCACTTTCAATGACATTTACTTTTTGAACAGTAACCAATTTCAATTGATTGAACCATTAAAATTTAATGGAACGTCATTGGAAATTTGTTGAGAAAATATAGTATTTCAATTGATTATCACATTCTCTGGTCACTTTTTTTTATATTAATAAAATAAAAATATTATTTCACGTTTCTTTATTATTTATTTTATTTTTTCGAATGAAGAGTAAAAATGTTTTACGTTAAAGATGAAATAACAAATTTCATATATGAAACAATAATTATCATAGGATAAAATTATTATTATTAATTATAATAATTATCAAATTAATTCATTGCATATTATTAATATATTAAAATTATCTATAAATAAATAAATAAATAAATTTGTCTTTTAAATAAAGTTGAAATTTTTTTTTATCAGAACCGAGTCACAAAATATTATAAAGTAGACAGAACTGTCATCCTTTTTATAAAACGTTAAAAATGCTTTAAAGAAATAAAATAAAAAGGACACTTTAGGTAAAGAAAAAAAAGAAAATACAACACGAAAGATAAAAAGTAGGAAAACCTTTCCGTCACTATATATGTCTCTTTATTATCCTTTATTTGAAAACAAAAATTCAATTTACTACACTTGTTAGAGAAAATATTTCAGTTAGAATAATATAGTTTCATATGTTTTTTTTCAAAATGTTATTTAGTTGCAATTGTTGAAAATTTAAATAAATATTTCTATACTAGATTACCATCCAAGACTTACAGTACAAATATTAACATTTAATCATCTATATCAGAAACAGGTTATTTTCGAGGGAAAAATTTGTTCTTTTTAAAGTAACTGGAAATTCAATTTTTATTTACTGACATCAAATAAAGTTATACTTAATGTGATCATGGTATAAATTTATTTTAAAGGCTTTTATACTAATAAAGCTAGCTTTTAGTCTTTTAGTCTTTTCAGCTGTCAAAATAAAGGCCTAAGCACAATAGAAACGTAACAGGAATCGTAATCGCAATCGTAAACGGAAGAATGAGTTAAAGTATTGTTGTTCTTCTCTTACTAATTCTTCCGTTTGCGATTACGATTCCGATTACGTTTCACGGTAAACAGAAATCAAAGACAATGTGCAATTCGATAATTAAAAAGTGACAGCTTATAAACATAACCTAAAATGCATGAGAAAAAATTTGTCGATAAAATCAATATAGCCGAGCTTTTTAGAAGGTAGATGGCAGTTTTGCTTTTTATAAAAACGATTCGGACAAAATTTAAAGAAAGAAAATAGATGAGTGCTGCCATCTACATTCTAAAAAGCTCGGCTATATTGATTTTATCGACAAATTTTTTCTCATGCATTTTAGGTTATGTTTATAAGCTGTCACTTTTTAATTATCGAATTGCACATTGTCTTTGATTTTCTGTTATTTTCATTTTCAAATTAAATAGTGAAATGGTCTCCGCAATTGTACTATTACCAAAATATCTGAAAAAAATTCGTTTAATTTTGAGTCGATTCAATTCGGGGCCATGATTGATATAAATTGATTAAATTTTCTGCATCAAAAAATGATACACAAAACGATCTCTTTTTGATATAACTTATGTGCATCAAAACGTTGCAAAGATTTGATGCAATTTTTGGTCTCAATTTGATACTTTTAGGAAAACTGTGTTCTATTGTGCTTAGGCCTTAAAACGGTAAACTAACCTCAATTAGTTATTCAGTTAATGGGCTAAGCGCTAAGAACCTTTAAGTGTAGAAAATTAATTAAACTTAAAATATTAATATACAGCATTGAGTTTAGAAATTGATGAAAGAGAATTTTCGTTCTATTTAACTTTAACTCAAAGTTAACAAGCTTTCAAAATACATTGACAAACTTTAATTAAAAACAAATCTAATTAATAATATTGTTGCATTTATTTTAATGACATGTAAAAATTATTCAAATACAATAATCAGATAAAATTTATTTTGCTCAAATAAATATTTATTTCATAATAGTCAAGGTCAAGTAATTGTTTATTTGATTTGATTAAAATAATATTTTGGATTAACAAAAATTCAAAATATATTCGAACAATAGTAGCATATTATTTTTGAACTGCATATATCTGTATACAAATATGATTTTTTCTTGTATTACTAAAAAGTAATTTAAATTTCAAGTGTTTCCATGTCAAAATGCTTTCAAGAACCAATTTTTTCTTTCCCATATAAACAGAAAACAGTAGTTTTAAAAAGTTTTTTACAATAAAAAGTAGAACAACATAAGAGGACAAGAAATTAAATTTCATTTTCATTTGAAAATGAAAAAGTTTTCAAAAAAAAATTTTCACATCATATATTTTTTTGTGACATATACACTTTCAGTATATATAATTAAAATTACGAACATTTTTTTAAAACAAATTTCAATTAAAAAGTCACATATATACCTATGATTAAATTCATGAAAAGAAAGTCATTAGGGAAAAAAAAAAGAAATTCTAAGTAACATTTTTTTCTTCTTCTTTCAATTTAAAAATTTGCAGAATGTTAATTAGATGAAATTACATAATAATTACAGATGTGGATGTATTCACTGGGTCGAGCCTTATTAGACACAACTCCGAGGGTAACAGCTTTAACGGGAACAGTGTCCGTTTCACCCTCATGTGCTTTACAGTCGGTTTTAGCTGCTATGACAGAACCAGATCCACGAAGGCGAGCTTCATTAATGAATCTTCTTGACGTAAGTTCAAAACAAGTGTTTACACTATGTGTACCTATAGATTTAACCTTTAATTAATTTCTCAGTTACTCTAAATGCATTCAAAGTTCAAAAGTCTTTAAAATTTAATTTTAACGAAAAAACGTTCTCCATTTGTTATCAACATTTTTTTTTCTTTTATTCTTTGATTTTAGTCAACCGAAAACAATTTAAAGTTTTGAATCTATATATAGACACGTTGCCAAAGTACGTAACGTTTATGATTAACGATTAGAAATCAATTTTTATTTAACACGGAAAATTATAAAATTGTAATTACAATTAAAAGTTTTTATGGATAGTAAACGATTTAGGTAACATAACCAAAAAATAATTTTACCTGAATTGTTTTCTATGTATAACAATTTTTAATTTTGATGAAAATATCCGTCTACCTAAGCAGAACAGCTTCGTGAACGAAATACATGTGTTAGAAAAGGATACAAATATATCTCTGTTCTTTTTCAACTCGTGCACATTGTTCACGAAGCTATTGTGCGTTGGCCCTTAATTTAGAAATGGACACATGTAAATTTCCATTGGAAATCCAGTAGAACGTCCGAAATATGACACAACTTTATATTTTTGACACATGCTTCACCCTGCTTTTCTCTATGGCCCGAATTGGGATTTTTAGCGTACTTTTGATAATGTGTATACTCAGGAAGTATGCAGTGTCCTTTTTTTCGCACGGAAAAAGAAGGACAATGCATACTTCTCAAGTATACACTTTATCAAACGCGTCGGTCACTCAACGCAAACTTTTAAGGCGCTTGTACACCTCACAAATTCTTAGTATCCTCGGAATTTGTCAGAGGTTTCACTTACTTTGATTGGCTTTGCTCATAGAGAATTTCGAAATTTCCCTATCTTTTGGAAATTCTCGATGAGCAAGGCCAATCAAAATTAGTATAACTTTTGACAAATTCCGAGTATACTTAGAATTTGTGAGGTGTACAAGCGCCTTTAGGAACCTATTGGAGAGAGGCCTGAGCAGAATATAAACGGAATCGTAATCGCAAACGCAACAGGAAGAATGAGTTAGAAAAAGGATAAACATATTGTTTGTCCTTCTCTAACTCATTCTTCTGTTGCGTTTGCGATTCCGTTTCTGTTCTGCTCAGGCCTTAAAGCTACCATTCCCTGCAAACTGTCACAATTCCGATGTTCCACTGTTTATTTTATATTTTTTGTCAACAAAATTTTGACATTATTCTTAACCTAAAAAATTATTTTTCGTATATCGTTCGGAGATATAATATTTTTGAATAAAAAAGAAAGATATTTTCCATATATAAAAATAAAACTTACAAACTGTTTCAAATTAAATAAAATCCTTCAAACAGATCTCTATATTTAAATTAAAAATTCTTTTTTTTCTAAGTGTAGTTAAATTTCACGTGAAATCGACCATATATATATTGTATATAAATTCAACAAAGAATAATTATAACTGAATCCCCTTTTCATAAAAGAGCGGAAATTAGCTGAAATTCGTCCATCTTATATCCAATTTTCAAAATCAATATCAAATTACATAACTCAAATTGCCTCTAGTGAGAGCGAGAGAGAAATTGAATTTCTTTCCTGGGGCCAATAAAGAACATTCTTTATTTGGAAAGAGCAGGTATTTTTCCGAAGGAAACAATTAGTCAGGTGGTACGAATGCTATGTCGACGATGCAATGGTCTAATTGTATCAGGTGGTGAGTGTTTTCGATCTAATCTTAACTAGAGACCTGAGAACAGATGGCTTTCACGGTTTGAGTGGGTGGGTGGTTTCTATATCGATCTAGCTCAACGTGAGTGGTCTCTCGGTACGCTAAACTCAACTGCACACAGATTAATTAGCGTTATTGCCAGCAGCCATGAACCGTAGTAATTCAATGCTCCGCGAAAACGTGACGTAGGTGCGAGAACCTACAGCTGGATCTGACTACAATCGTTTCGCTCTAAAAAGACCGTACTATAGGCTCAGATATACATATATATATATAGAATGCAATGTCAGCTAAACACAATTTGCTTCCGACATGCCATTGTCTGTTATATCAATAATATATTCTTCACCAATCATTTATCGAAAATATAATTCATTAATATTAATATACCGTCAACCATTATGGTAAAAAACTGGTTTTTAATTTGTAAAATATTCAAATTTCGAAATGTTAAAAATTTTACATCCTAGCTGTAATTGTGTGACATTTTGGTAACAAAGTAAGTGTTATTAATAAATTCGGTTTTAGAAATCAGAAAAAAATTTATGACAAAATTTTTTCCGAAAATTAAAAATAACATATAATTTTACAACATAACCTCAAAAATGATTATTATTAATTTTACCATTTTATATAATCTTCAAGATAATTTAAAATATTTTAAAAAAACAATTCTGGGCCGTATTAAGTTATTTAATTAGGGTAAATGCACTAATTGCGGCGCGATTCGAGTCAAAACACCTTTGAAATAGAAAATTCGACATATCTATTGTATAAACTTAATTTAAGACTTATTGAACTAAAAGGTTATCTTATTTATAGATGTTAAAAAAAATGTTTAACTCTATAAAAATCGATTATCTAAAGAAATATGAAAAATTAAAACTAATACCGTAATTTTCTATTGCGGCGCGTTTGTATCAATTTCGGTGCGTTTGGATCAATTTCGGTGACCAAAATTACGTGTATTTTGAAGATACTTTGCCCGCCGAAATTGAAGTCAATGGAAATCTTAAAACTGTTTCAATTGCGGCACCGAAAAAAATTTGATCTCAAATAATTAAATTAATAATTGTTTAAATGTGCATCTTTATAAATAATTGTATCAAAAAAAGATAATTTGAAATTAATTTAAAATATCATTCCTAACCTAAAAAAAGTTCACTTATAATAAAATTCCTATCATATAATAATAAATTTTTCAGCAACTTTTTAAAAATTATTTACAAAATATATAGTTAAAAGTTCCCATACCAACAAAATTCGAAAAAATCATGGAACCCGTTTTTCGTAAAGTTCAAAAAGATAAAAAATTTTTAGCCAAATCAAAAATGTCAAAAGTCAATAATATGTTGAAGTGGCGTGGACCCCCCCCCCCCCTTCTCGTCCCTTCTTCCATATCATTTTATGTTTTTTAACTTCATTTTTATATTTTATCAAATAATACAGTATTTTTTGTCATTGAAAATTTTTCTCCGTTATACTGAATGAATTGTAAACAACAAGCTTTTCAAATTTTTTTTTCAGTTTACAAAATTGAAAATTTTATAAAATGCTCTTAATCTTTTGTCTAACTGTAAATTTAATTTTGGTTCTGAAATAAGTAGACATTAAAGTTGCTCTTTTGTAAAAAAAAAAAAAACTAATTTTTAACAAATACTTCCTTTACGAACTAATCATTTATATGAGAAATAAGCCCTGTAAATTTGAAACCTATTGCTGAAATATTTATAATATTTATTTATATATTTTATAATATTTTAGGAATACTACAAATTATCCATCAGAAAACATGTACATTATTTACAACAAATATTTAAAAATTACATTTATATAAAAAAAATAAGATTAGCTTATTTAAACTGTTTGAATTAATCTAAAATTGACGAGTAAAAAATTTCTAAATAGCTGAATATGAAATTTTCGGAAAAATTCTTGTTTTAATGTTAAGGATTTTTTTTTTAAATTGTTATTGGGACATTTTGGGACCTTTAAACTGTTGCTAAATTATTATGGAAAAGAGTTTAAAAAATACTTCATGTAAATTTTGATGATGGTTTTCGCAAATTGTTACTGTGGCCATTTAGAAGAATTTTTCCAAAAATTTAAAAGCCCTAAATTTTTTTACACCAAACTAAATTCGAATAATTATTGTAAAATTATAAGACCTAAATTAGGTCTAATTTCAAAGTTAGAAGTTATTTATTGTCAAAAATGGTACTTGCAAAACTTTACCAATAATATACCGTATTCAGAACCAAAAATAAATTTATATTTTTGTCAAAACATCAAGTAGTGGATTTTATAAAATTTTCAATTCTGTAAACATCAGAAGAAAATGAAATGCTTTGTTTACATTTCATATAGTACAATAGAGTCAGCTGTCCTTACAAAAGAAGTTGTAAAAAGGTTCCTTCTTTGGGAAAATAATGGATTTTCCAGCAAAAGACTTTTTCATAAATATAATATTTCATTCAATGACCATATATGACATGAAAATTTGAAAATTGAAAAAGTTTGCTAAAAACATGTAACAATTCTTTCTTAGCGAAAAATAATATAAAATATCACTTTTATAAATTGTATTCCATACTTACAGAAAAGTTCTTTTAATATAGTAAAACTATCGTCTTCTTTCGTTTTTTATTCCTTTTATTAATAAAAGAATTTTACTAATTTTAAGAGCAATCGTTTAGTTGAAAAAGTGATTGTATTTATAAGAAAAGATTCCTTTTAATATGTCAAAGGAAATAGAATCCTTTTAGGGATAGAGGATTTGTTTAAGAAAAAATTTCTTTTGACAATAAAGAAATTTCTCTTATCCCAAATAGACTATTTTATCATTGCGTTTGTATATTAATTAGTTATTCATTGATTTAAGTCAATTTAAAATAATAAGTAAAAGAAATTTTTCCCCCCTATAAAAAGAGCTTCGATTTTCAAAGTAAATTATTCCAACAATAAGTGAAGTTATTATTTCTTTCCTTCAGGGCATGAAATAAAATCGATTATTGTATATATTTCGCGAAAACGCTTTAGCTCTAGAAATTCTTTTAAAAGAGTTTAATGCAGTGTATCTGAAACTTGATAGCTAACGATATATATATTATAAGGTCCTACAGAATAGAAAAGACTGGAGAATATTATGCTGCCATTATAGATATACTCTCAAAGAATATAAAATTTTTTCATTCCAATTGACATTATCTATTTATATATCAATATCTTAAACGAAATGTAATTTTTTTTTTAAATTTACCATTTTTTTTTCTTATCCCTTTTTGATAACCATTTGTGTACAAAAATAATTGTCAAGGTAAAGTTGAAGGAAAATATCGAAATTGGAACTTTAAGAATTTCTATGACAATATTCTCAAGGAAATACTCTGAACAATAGCACTGAAGAGACAATCAACAAGAAGAATGAAAAGACTTGAAAGGCATTCGGATATTTGAAAGTTCATTTTCTAAATGAATGATGCACTTTTTTTTTATAAAGTTACATTTTTATATTTGTTTTGACTTCAAAACAATCCTTTGAATTCTAAAGTAACAAATTGTTTTTACATTTCATAAAAGGGAAAATTTTTTTTAAATTGAAAATTTAAAGATTGAAATACATCAACCTCAAAAACAAAAAGAAATATCGATATAAAAAAATCGATTTTTATAAACTCAATTTCATACCAAAAATTAAGTCTATATATAATTTTTTTGTTTGCTTTTAGGTAATATCAGAATACTGCCGTTCTCGCTTACAATCAAGACCTTTCACTCACATTGTGATGGATATGTATCGAGAGGTAGTTTGTTCGCCACAATATGCAGCGAGAAAACGAGTTATTCTCCGTACAACAAATAAAAATAATTCACCATCAATGGAAATGAAGCATAAACAAAGTCGTCAATATCAACGATGGTCGGCCAATCATCGTTTCGCGAAATATAATAATTCAAAAGCAGACAATTCACTATTCAAAATTCAGTCACGCAACTCAAGATCACATCCAAATCTCATGGGTTTGTCGACGCGTAATGAGGAAAATCCAATAGCACGTTTTCAATCCCAATTGGATATGATTAATGCTGCTGAAATGTTGGATCATCCATCGATTGCATTCAGTCATTTGAGAACTGTTTCACAGCCATTGACAATGCCACCGCATCAAATACAAAGTAATGGCGATCTTATTGAGAGAAAAATTTCAAATAACATCACTGAATATCATCGATATCAAAGAAATCGACGTAATGGCCTACTTGAAATGCCACCACCAATGAAACCATTTCTTAGCTCGCAAGATGTGAGATATGGTGGTTGTGGATTGTCAAAATTAGTACAAGATCAAGATCAACTCTATGCAAGGCCAATGAATGGTAGGAGAAATAATTTTACATGCTTCTCATCGTCATCGTCTTCCACGTCGTCTTTAAGGCCCAATGGAATTCAGCAAAAAGAACCTACGTATGAGACTCTAGTCAATGCACCTAAGGTATTGTTTTTTCTTACAATATTTGTTTTAAGAAATTATTTTTTAAACTTGAGGAGAGAGACTAGTGAAATTTTAACGTTTCGAAATTTACATTCTTGATTCACGACAATTTTTTTCTGACATTATTCTCAAATTTTTGAAATTTGAAAATAAAATAATTTTATCAATTTTAGAATTTATATTTCAGGCCTCGGATTATACGACTTTTTCCGACATTTTTTTAAAAAATACGACTTTTTTCGACTTTTTTTTACATTTTTTTTTAAAAAAATTTTAAACAAAATACGTTTTTTTAATATACAATGTAATCTTCTTCAGATCTTCTTTATTTCAATTATTTAACAAATTTTTAACTAAAATTCTTCACTAAATTAATTATTTTTAATAATTTTAATGAAATTCTTCACAAATACGATTATTTTAAATTATTTTTCAATTAAAATTTTTTGTTTAATAATTGTTTATAATTTTTTAAAATTATCAAATAAAATTACCAAAAAATTTTTAATTCAAAATCACTTGAAGTTTAATTATTTGCAAAAATTTCAATTATTTTTAATGATTTTTATAATATTCTTCAAAAATTCAACTATCTGAAAGCATTTTTCAATTAAAAACTTTTGGAATTCAATTTTTTTATGTAATTTCTAATAAATTCTTCACCAACAGAAATCACTAAAAATTTCTCTTATTATAATTATTGTCTGAAATTTAATACAATCTTTTGAAATTCAATTATTTTCAAAAATTTCAATTTAAATGCTTTTAAAATTTTTGATCTAAAATTTTTTGAAATTTAATAATTTTAATTATAATTCTTCCCGAAATTCAATTATTTTTAATGATTTTTATAATATTCTTCCAAAATTCAACTATCTGAAACCATTTTTCACTTAAAAAATTTTCAAATTATTTCGTTTTTGTCTGAAATTTCTAATAAATTTTGTAGTAAGAAAAATCATAAAAAAATTTTAATTAAAAATCACTTGAATTTCAATTAATTTTAAAAATCTAAATTGTAAATATTTGATAATTAAATTACTTTTACAAAAATTTTATCTAAAATTATTTGATAAATTATTTTTAGTTCTGTAAAATTTAATTATTGTCAGAAAATTAACAAAATCTTTTGAAATTCAATTATTTCTAAAAATTTCAAAATTATTATTTAAAAAAAAAAATTTATTTAAAAATCTGTAAAACTTGATTAAATATTGCCTGAAATTTTTTTGACCATAAAAACTAAAACCTATGATAAAATTTTTAATTTTAATAAATTGCTTAAATCAAACTAGAAAAAATTATAAAAATGGAACTTTAAAAATTTTTTTTAGAAATTTGTCCTACTTAAATAAAATTTTGAAAATTTGTCTTACAATTAGTTCGATTCTGAAATATTCGAAATAAATTTTCTTGATAATATTTTTATAGAATTATTCTCATTGCAAAATTAATAAAATGAATTTAATATCTAATAACATTAATTATTTAAAGTAAAATATTTATTTTAATAAATTAAATTTTGTTAAAATGAAAAAATCGACTTTTTCGAATTTTTTTCAAAATAAATCGACTAAACCGACTTTTTTGTGCCTTAAAGACGATCCGAGGCCTGTATTTAAATAAAAATTCAAAAACCCATACGATTGATTATTCAGAACCATAAAAAAAGTGTAAAAAAAATTGCCGATGAAAAATAATAGAAATTGTGGAAGAAGTTGAATTTTAAAAGTATTAATAGTAATACTCAAAAAAACAATACTAAAAAACAAGGTTTTTATATTATTTTAACTTTTACGGGTAAATTATTATTATGAGATCTTTTCTACCTAAATATCTTGTTTTTTAGTATTTTAGTAAATAATAAATAAAATATTACAAAAATTTTTCTTTAAAGAAAAAGATATTTATGTTGCATAAATGAAATAAACGACAGAGAATAGAAAATATAATATAATATTGATTTTGATAAAAATGCTAACGTTTTTTTTTTTTTTTTTTTTTTTTCATATTTTCACACTAATGAAACAGGAAGAGATTTATGCAAGTGCTGAGACAACGGGAAACACACGTCCCAGAGTCGTTCTTCATCAACAAGTTTCAAATAATAGACTTTCCAATTTGAATCAAGACATTAATAATGAGACAATAAGCAATCCATTAATTCCAAAATCAATAAGTGAACATCTAAGAATTCGTATTGGAAATTTAAATGGTCAACAACAAAAAATTCAAGAATATTGTCGAAATCCAGTGCCTTCCGATAATATTCCCGATATTTATGGAACAGTACCATCAAAAATACCACGAATAATCACCTCTTTAAAAAAGGACAGAGATTCGCCTAATCAGCCAATTTCCGATGGGGAAAATGGAATACCAATCGAAACTGCTCCAAGGTACGCATAAATATATATAAATTTATATAAAAATTAAATTAAATTAAAAAAAAAAATTCAGAAAATTTTGGTAAAAATTTTTCGACATAGTATTTTAAAAATTAACTTTACAATAAAATAGTTTTTTCTGCTTGAAAAATAAAAAAACACGTATTTTTTTTTTTAATTTGCTTCACATTTTTTTTTTGCAGTTTTTTTTACCAATTTTTAAAGATTTTGACAATTTTCAAACTATTTAGTTGCTTCTAGTTTCATTTTTTAAATACTTTTTCAGAAAATATTGTTAGAAATTTTTATTATTTATTTTTTTTGTTTCTTAGAAGAAAAAATTCTTTTTGGTTTTTACTTTAAAATTTCTTGAATTCCGCAATTTTCAAAATTTTAATTCTTTCTTGGGGTATTTTTTTCAATTTTTAACACTATATTTCAAAATATTATTAAAAGTAAAGAATTTCGATGAACAACGATTTAGAAGAAAAAATATTTTTTTATGCTATTATAATTTTTTGTCAAAAAAAAAAAAAATTTTCCATAGTAGCGTTTTTCGATGAACAATTTTAAAAAGAAAATAATTTGTAGGCAAAAAATTTTATTATTTTCCGGATAAATTTTTTTTTTTCCAATCGTTGATAATAAACGTTGTGAACTTAACAGACGTGATTTTTTGATGTCGCAAAAAATTCAGGTTTAAAAAAAATTAAAGAGTTACTATACTAAACATATGAACTTTGAAAATCTTAAAAAGATCTTGAACTTGTTTTTTCAAAAGAATTGAAAGATTATAAAAATTTAGTCAAATGATCATTGTTTAGAAATTTGGATCTAAACATAAAACTAGCTCATCTATTTAAAAATGAAAAATAGTAGAGCAAATTTCCTAAAACCAAATTTGGTTATTCTGAAAGGTGTGGTTGAGCCTTAGGCTGAATTATCCCTTTATTACCATAGAGAGGTTACAGAGTTCATTTATATATATATATAGGTATTTAATATAGGTATAAGGTATTCCACGCCAAGTCAGACAACATTTTGTATTTACATCTCCGATTTTTTTGAAACTTTTTTTTCTTTTAATACTAATTGAGACTAGCTTTTATGATTTTTTTCAATTTTTTTTAGCGAACCATCTACGAGATATGAATTTTTCAACATTTCAGAATTTTTATGATTTTTTATTTTTTTAATGCTCATAACCTCCTTGAAAATGAATCAATTTTAAAAGTTTGTTTTTTAAATTCTGTGTTATTACGTGAACTTATCGAAAATTTGCTGCAAGAAATTCCTAGAAAAATAATTTACTATTTTTTTTTGCAATTTAAAAATTAAAATTTTATTTTTAAAAATGTAAGTAGCGTTCCATTAAAAAAAAAAGTTTTCAAAAAAGCGTCTTTCTTTTGCAAAAATTTAATTAAAAGATACTTACAGTTTTAGAAATAAAATTTTAATTTTTAAATTTCAAAAATTATAGTAAATTATTTTTCTAGAATTTCTTGCATCAATTTTTGAAAATCTCTCGTTGAAACATACAATTATAAAAAAAAACTTTTAAAATTGATGCATTTTCAAGAAAATTATGAGCATTAAAAAATAAAAAATCATTAAAATTGTGAAATTTTTAAAAATTTGTATCTCGTAAACGGCTTGGTGAAAAAAATGGAAAAAAATCATGAAAGCTAGTCTCAATTAGTATTAAAAGAAAAAAAACTTTCAAAAAAATTGGAGATGTAAATGCAAAATGGTGTATGATTTGACGTGGAATATCTGATATATAAAATGGATCTCTCTCAACACAAACATACCAAATATCCCCGTACTTTACATGATTTTCCATCAGATGTTTCGACCCCGGTTTGAACTAAGGATGAAATATTCGACACAAAATCAATTTCAGAGAGAAAGACCTTTGAAACTGATTAACAAACTGATTGGATGACTATAGGAACAATCCTCTTAAATATGTATACATAGTACCTTTTGATTTGGCAAACAAGAACTAATACAATTATTATTCAACATCAAACAGATTATTTAAACATTAATAGAAAATTTTTTTTACAAAGGAAATAATTTCTTTAAAAGAGAAAGAAAATTATTTTCAATTAATAGTCACTCACAGTGTTTATGGGATCAGTTTTATTTTATTAGATTGTCAGAGGATCAAATAAAAAATGAGCTTTTAAATTTTTCGTTTTGGACAAGTTTACTTTTTTTTAATTAAATGTCGAGAAACGAAAGCATACAGAAAATAATGATAGCATACGAGTTAAGGCGCTTACAGAGGACAGTGTTAAAGACGCTCTAATGTAAAAGAAGAGTTTTTATTGAGCTTGGAGTTTAATTAAATTTACCACACTAAAGCGGTGTTCCTCAGCAAAGCGACATAATGTCTTGCATTAGTGCCCACTTTAAGGAGTTTTTACCATCGTTTATAAGTTCCTTAGCTGCATCTCAGTTACATATATACATATACGTTCTAATATTATATAAGAAAATATTCTATTATTTACGATAATTATATGCCTTCTTGAATGTTTGCCAAATCAAAAAATAATACTTTTTTTTCATATACACTTTTTAATAAATTATATGTATATTTTAGATTCAAGTTTACAAACAAAAATTTAATAAAGATGCTTTGTTTGGATTAAAAAAAATTCTTGGCGGAAGCTTATATGTTAAACATTTTTAAATTCAGTAAATTAAGAATTTTTTTTTTTAACAAATTTCCATCTTCATTGAATAAACTCTTTTTTTTATTTAAAAAAATTTAATAATCATGAAAAGATTTTTGAAAGAAGTTGGAGAAATGTTCGATTAAAAGTTTATAATTATAAAGATGAAAATAAAATCTTTTTGTAAAATAAGTATTCCTTGTATAAAAAAAAAACTTATTTTAATTTGAAAAACTTTTTTTTTTTATTAGAGTCAATCTTAAGAATGGACCAAGAGCGCGACGAGGGAAACCAGTTCAAAGGGCACCTTCTCGATTATATAGAGCAATTGGAGGTCAAATGAGGAATTTTAATAAAACGCAATGCGTCGGTCCTGAGTTCGTCATTCGCGCTAATCAACCCTCCAAAATCATGACTGTTGGAGACATTAAGGTATGTATTTATTTTAATACAACCACTTGAATTTTACGTTACACGATTTAAAAAATAAAAAAAAAAAAAAATCACTGATTACGAATCCGATCTCAAATTTTCGAAATTAAAAATGGTGGATCAAATATGTCGGTCTTTATAAAAATTCATCGAATTCACTTAAAACTTGTTACTTCGTTAAGTAATAATTTAAGTAAGATGAATTTAAATATAATAAATTAGAAATAAATATATATTTTTTCGGTAAAGTTATAACTTTTAAACTGAAAGATGAAAAAAAATTTGACCAATATGATTTTGAAAGGAGTTTTCCTGCTCTCCCGAATGGTGCAAAAATTTTTGCAAATTCAAAATTTTACCCTACTTATTTTGAAAATCAAGAATTTTTTTTTTAAGTTAAAAATGTGTATTTTTACCACAAAAAAATATTGACATGTCTTTTTTTGTTATTTTCGAGATAATAATTAATTATTTATTTAATGTTAATAAAAAATTAAATATTTTATAAACAAATAAAGTTATCGTAATTTTGACTTTATACCAAATGAAAGTTTAAGCATTTTGGATAAGTGGGATTGTTATAATAAACAATTGGCTAACATTGCAATTGTTTAGAAAAACTCCTCTATAATCCAAAATAATTCATCTTAGGTTCGTTGGATGCGGAATTACGTCAGTTTTTAATTGATAAATTTAGAATTGCAAAAACTTTATTTATTTGTAAAATATTTCATTTTTTATTAACCTTAAATAGTTAATTAATTAATATATCGAAAATAACAAAAAAGGATATCTCAATATTTTTTGTAGTGAAAATACACATTATTAACTTTAAAAAAAAACCGAAATTAAAAAAAAATACTTGATTTTCAAAAAAGGGTCATATTTTGAATTTGTAAAAATTTTTGCACCATTCGAAAGAGTAGGAAAATTCCTTTCAAAATCATATTGGTCAATTTTTTTTTCATCTGTCTGTTTAAAAGTTATAACTCTACGGAAAATATATGTATATTTATTCCTAATTTATTATATTTTAATTCATCTTATTTAAATTATTACTTAACCTAGTAACAAGTTTTAAGTGAATTCGATGAATTTTTATAAATTTTGACCGCCATATTTGATCCTTCATTTTAATTTTGAAAATCTGACATCAGATTCGTACTCAGTGACTCCAAAAACCCTCTAAATAACAAGTTTTATAATAAAATTAACAAGTTTTAAAAATTTTCGATCGCCATATTGGATCAAAATTTTGAATTTTGAAAATCTGACATCATATTCGTACACCGAGGAAAAAGAATTTCTTTGATTCAAAGAAAATTTATATTTGTTTCAAACAAATTATCTTCGTTTCAAAAAAATTTGTTATTTAATTCAAATAAATATTTCTTTGACCCCACACGGAGAGAAAAAAAAAGTTCTAACATTTTTAAGATTTCCACTGGCTCCAATTTCGACGGGCAAAGTATCTTTAAAATACACGTAATTTTTGTCACCGAAATTGATACAAACGCGCCTCCATAGAAAATTACATTATGTTTGGAGAATATCAATTAATTTTAAGAAAGACCACAAAAAAACACACAAAATATCAGTTTATTGTTCTGTTATTAAAACAAATAGAATTAAAACATAAATTATACAAATTGAGCTTTTTTCAAAAGAACAATGATAACCCTCTGAAAGGTCGATAATGGTCCCTTGCAGGGATAATTACACTCATAAGGGCCCAAAAGGGAGAGACTTAACACATTTGTACATAAAAGGGACCTTGCCAGAATGTTATGCACTTTTCTTTATTGTATAAATTCTATTTCAAGATTGCGATAGCAATATTGTAAGGAAAACTCAGAACTTATAAACGTACTTGATTGAGAATACTCTTGTAGGAGTTGCAACTTTTGCGAGGAGTTAACTAGTACTTAGGCAAAAGCGAACTGAACGGTCGATTTGAGAAAAAGGGCCTTATCCTTTACTCAATGTACAAAATGTGAGAAAAGAGGGGGAAAAGCAAAGTTTTCTGCAATATTTTAGTTTCCGTGTTTTAGGAAGAAACTTGCAAACCTGATGAGATGCGCCCGCCAGGGTCGATCGCAGGCAATATCATAAAAAAGGGCTGCGCTCGGCTCTGGCCAGCACATGCTAACACATGTTTTGCAGTTTTCCATTGACTTTTGTTAGTTAGACTTATGTATAAAAAAAGAAAAGAGAAAGTTTTAAACACCGTGAGAAAATCGGTTTTTACTTAAACTTTTGAGTTTTTAAATTTATAACATTTAGAAAATTCGTAAGAGAATGATTTTTTGGCTTAATCTTTTAAATCTATCTTTAAACACAGTATCAGTTTTAATTTCTCATATTTGTTTAAGTAATCGATTTTTATAGAGTTAAACATTTTTTTAACATCTAAATAACATAACCTTTTAGTTTAATAAGTCGTAAATTGAGTGTATACAATAGAAATGTCGAATTTTCTATTTCAGAGGTGTTTTGACTCGAATCGCGCCGCAATTAGTGCACTGTAAAAAAATGGAGTTGAATTTCAACTCCCTAGGGAATGCTATAAAAGTCCCATCCTTTTGGAGTTGAAGCGAAGGGAGTTAATTTTATGCCTATGGAGTTGGTTTTAAGGAGTTAATTTAATTATTAACTCCCTTTTTGAGTTTCCCTAATCTAACCCCTAATTTAACTTAGTTTATTAAAACTAAGGTGAGGGAGAGGTAATATTAAATGAATTGTAATTAATTTATAAAATCATTTATTAAATTAATTCAATATTCTATTTTCAATAATTGTTAATTTGCGTAAGACGAATTTCCTTTAATCAAATAATTCTTTTGGTAATAAGTTTTTCTGATTTTTATCTATTAGATGTAGGCGAAGATTTCTGTGAATAGTTCTTCTTTGATTTACGATCATGACTCAAACTGCAACGGCTCCTTGATTGACTTTTACTGCTTTGACATAAGCGATCAGCGTGGTCTTTTTGTATGGATCACCCCGACTGCTGTGTCTACGAATTTGAGTGTCGATAGTTATTTCACATTGAAGATTTTATGTAACCAAGTTAACTGCACTTAAGATCTGGATTCGTATTTACCGGCTTTTAACGCTTATGTTTATTGCTTATAGAAAACTGAACCGATGCTGATATTGAATACTGTTTACTTAATTGAACTGATGCACTATTTACTGCTGTGAATGAGAATTACATATAATTATTATTTTTAAAGGTCAAACTCGAAGTAGCCCAGCCAGTAGGGAGACACTTTTTAGAAGGTATCTCTCACCGATGTAAAAAAGTATTAGTGAGTCTTCTTCTTCATAGTGGTGAATCATGTATAGGAACCATGCATAGGAAACCGACTTTCACAATTTCCAATGATTGAGAATAAAACATTTTACATATTTTAACTGTTGACAATATTCATTAATTGGTTTATTTTACATAAACAAGAACAAAACACAAAAATAGTCCATTTTCTCCGGTGTATTTCAATCCGGTATGGTCTAGTGGCTAGGATACCTGGCTCTCACCCAGGAGGCTCGGGTTCGATTCCCGGTACCGGAAATTTTTTTGGTTTTTTTACTTAAAATTTTTATTTATTTAACCAGAAATTTTTAGTTAATAAAAATTTATTTTCTAATTTTTCCAAAAAAATTTAATACTTAAACACAATGAGAACCAATTAATAAAAACTTGTGAAATATAAACTAATTAGTAATACAATGTTATATAGAATACCAGATTGTGAAAATTTTAAAATATTTCCGGTTTAAACGAACATTATTATTTTAAATTAAACTAAACGAAATTATAAAGTTGTCGTTAATTTAAAAAAAAAATAATGTATATTGATTAATGTTTAAAATTATTTTATAAAACAGTAGAATCTTCTAAGCTTACAGTGTTAACTGTACAAATTACTGTTTAGACTGAAGAGAAATAATAAAAATTAAATTTCTCGAGTGATTGAAACGACTTCAGTTGCCTGCTCTTCTCTCGATGGTAAATGAAGTTTAAGTATATTCACAAGTAGGTGCTGTCATCTGTACTCTGCGCGGATAAACTGAAAGTTACCTACACATCAGTATAGGTAGATAGCTCTACGGATTATCCCAATTCCTAAACTTAACTTTACTGAAAGAAGAAAAAGAAAGATTTAATTTTTTGTCATAACAGTGCTGTTCTCCCCGTACAAAAAGCAGCAATGGCACCGCATTTATGAAACAGTTTACTTTTTGGTTGTTCTCTTTTGCACACAAATAGCGATGCTTAACTTTTATAGTAAAATGTGTTTGCATTCCTCAAAAAAGGAAATACTCGTTATAATTTTATAACAATAGAATACAATTTAATTGTCATTATATGAAAAATTGAATAATAAATTAAGGGGTTATATATGTTTATTCGCGTCCAAAAAGAGGAATTTTCGAAAAAAAATTTAGCATTTGTTTAAAATTTTTTTAAAATGATTTTTTTTATCGAATAGTACATATTTCGATGTAGTTGTATATAAATTTTAATTAAAAAATATTAATAATTGAGGAAACTGTAAATCTTTCACTAAAACACCTTTTTTTTAAAAGCTGCTTACGGTGACTGCGATAAGTCAGGCAGAATTTAACTAAAATTAAAAAACAATGGAAATTTCGTTAGTATGTTATATTAGCTTGTATGTGAACGAAGGATTTTGAAAAAAAAAATTTTCTAGAAATGGCGATGATTTTTCCTCAAAAATCATGATTTTAGAGTTTTAAAATTTGGTTTTTTTGACCAAAAAAAATATTAATTTTGGTTCAAATTTAAATTCCTTCGTTCACGCACCAGTTATTGTCACTGAAAATTTCAGCCCGATCGGTTTAGTGGTTTTAAAAAAAATCGCAGTCACCGTAACAGTAGTTCTCAAAAATCACGATTCCGAGATAATAGCCTTTAAAGTTTCAAGCGTATATACTCTTCTTTGAGAAGTAGCGGATTAAAACAGCTATAATTTTGGTTCTAATGCTCCGATTTTGATGAAATTTTGGGTAAACATTCTCGAAAGTATGCACTTTTAATATATGCAATGAAAAAAAAATAGATTTTTTGACCCATGAAAAGGTATATAACACCTTAAACAGATGTTTTATTATATTAATTATACAACTAATTACTAATATATATTTATTTATGTACACTAAAATTAATTGATATTATTATTTCATTTACAGTCGGTCAATTCTAGTCGTTTAGTCGTAATTATGTTGACTGGCCAACGACTTGAAGTAACCTGTGATCCACAGAAAATTACGGCTGGAGAATTATTTCAGGTAATATGCTAACTTTTATTTCAATATAAAAGATGTTTTTTAGTTTCTTTGAAACTCTTTAACCCTCGGAGCACATACTGGGTCACACAGACCCTGTCATTAATTTCAATGAAGTGTAATTTGAAAAGTCGGCAATACAACACGAACCTAAGGCCATATAGTGGTAACTAACTAATAAGGAATAATAAGTAACATGATAATCCAAAGAAAATAATAAAATACTAGTAAATATGTTATTAAAAAAGTATAGTTTTAAAAAGTTGTGTCGAAAATCACATTTTTATCGTCTTAAAAGTTACCTTCGTTAAACTACAAAATAAATACCTTTTTTAAAAAATAAAATAAGGTGGTATTTTTTCCCTTATTCTAACACACTTCGAGAATATAAATCCCAATTTTTAGCTTAAAATATTAAAAATTACAAAAGTTACATTTTTTTTTTAAATTCAATTTTTTCTTTTTAATTAGTTAACTTCACGAATTTTTTTTCAATATGCAAATAATTTAATAATATTTCTAAACTGCATATTCTTATTTTACAAGGTTCAATGAATAAAAAAATATTTTTTTTGTGTTGATCAGTCCAATAGTTCAAAAATGGGGGAGTTTTGTAAAGTAAACAGGGTCACAGCGACCCAGACTGTGCTACTTGTTCGAAAAAAGAGGTGTGTGCTCCGAAGGTTAATCGGAGATTTTGAAGGTCTCGCTAAATCCAAATTTGATGACGAATTCATATTATTAATATTTAATTTTAACTTATATTTTTCTGAAATATTAAAAAGTATTTCCAGTTTTGGAAAAATAGAGAAAATAGTTTTCTTGTGTGTATCAAATTGATACAAGAAATAAGATCAACTCATGCAACGTTTTGATTCGATATAAGGTATCAAATTGATCCAAATATTTGGATCATTTTCAAGAAATGATCCAGAATATGGAATCTTTTTTTGAGACCTGAATTGGTATCAAAGTATAACTGTCATGCTCTTATTGACAATTTTATTAATTAATTTATTCACTGTACTGAATATTCAAATATTAAAAATACTTTTATTATGAATTTTAAGAAAGAGAGAAGCGAAAACTTATAAATTAAGAACAATTAAATAAGAAAAAATTTATTTCGAAATAAAATGAAATACACTAACCTTTATTTATATTTATCACATAAGATTTAAGTTAAGTTCACAATCACAACCCTTGAAAATTTTTAATTACTTTTTTTTTGGTTCAAATAATTATCAATAATTTATTTATTATAAATGAACAAAATTTAAGGAATGCACGCTTAATAAATATTTCTAATGCGTTGTCCATTAATGCAATTAATAATTTCCTATTACACAATATCATAATCGACATATATGACATTTGTAAACAAACAGGGTTGGAAAACAAGAGCCCAAAATATATTCGTCCAAAGCGAATTTCAATCCTACCCAACTCTGCTTTGGACGAACATATTTTGGGCTCTTGTTTTCCAACCCTGTTTGTTTACAAATGTCATATATGTCGATTATGATATTGTGTAATAGAAAATTATTAGTTGCATTAATGGACAACGCATTAGAAATATTTATTAAGCGTGCATTCCTTAAATTTTGTTCATTTATAATAAATAAATTATTAATAATTATTTGAACAATTTTCCTCCATTTTGACTTTTAAACAATTGACATTGGATATCTATAAAAATATACAGTAAGAATGATTGACTATAAGCCAGCTCACGAGTGCGACGAAGACACTCTTATGCGCAGTTCCATTTGCTTCTCTCTCGCACTCACGCTTACCTATGATCAGTATGAAATCATTCAAATATGTTCCAACATCTATAAATGTTTTTCCAAAAAATTTGTAGAATTTTTTGATAAAAATCTTTTGACGACATTTTTAAGGCCAAAGCAAAATAGATTCTTGAACGGGAACGCAATCGTGAATGAAAATGTAAGAATGAGTGAGAGAAGAATAAAGATATTTGCTATCCTTCTTTTACTCATTCTTACGTTTCTGTTTACGATTGCGTTCCCGTTCAAAAATCTATTCTGCTTAGGATTTTAGACGGGAGAATAAATTATTGGCTTTACACCTGGACGTCAGGTATCTAAATAGGCCATGTTTGTCCCTGAGGGATGAAAAATAATTTAAATTTCCAAAAGAAAAAAAAAAATTTGATTAATACATCATTGGACGCAAAATCTTTAAGCTTTTGACGATAGTATCGACAATCATTTTAAATAATATTTTATAACGCATCAATTGACCTATAATTGTGACCTTTTTATATAATATTATGTGATATCGTCAAGAATCCTTATCTTGAATGCATCTACTTAGGTTGCAAATTCTATTACAGAGACGGTTATTGTATCCGTATTCTCAATTCCCCATTTGCATTCGTTTCAAAACATCGCGTTTTCTTGTATATAAATCTGACACGAAATGAAAAGAAATTTATATAAATATAAAAAAATTATAAATTTATAGAAATATAAAATGGAATTGAAAGAAGGGTTCATGAATGGTTCTTTCATTATAGAATGTTTAAAAGAAACTTTTCAGAATTTCCACTATATAGAGAACAAGAATTTTTATAAAACTTACATAATATCAATAAATTTTGTTTTTCGTTGAAAAATCAAAACATAATAATAATTCATAACTTTCTGTTGCTGAAAAAATAAAGTAATTAAATTATGCTTTATATTTAACACACATTAATTACAATAATTATGCAAAAATATTTACAGTTAATTTTCTCTTATTCAATAAAAGTTAGATGTATTTATATCAGCAACGTTTTTTTTTTTCTCTATATGTGGAAAATCGCTGCCCTTGATAATAATGTGAAACTTCGATATCAAATGATCGGGAAATTCGTGAACAAAAAAATAAAAGAATTGAAATGAGTTGGAGATTCAATATCAAATAGGCAAATGGAAACTGTTACAAAGTCACTAGCGAGTTTGAGAGCTGGCTTCGTCCGATAAGGCCTTCAATTTATCGAGCGATTATGTTGGTTCACCAATTTTCATTAGAATTTCGCGAGTTTTGCGTTAAAAGTTAAAAGGCTGCTTTTTTGATATATATATATTTTTTTTTCCGAGAATCCATTGAAATTTTCTCTTGCAACGTCAAAAACCAATTTTTATTTTCTAAGCACTTTGTTCTGAATAAAATTCTTTCTTTTCTTCTTTTTAATTTTATATCGCAATTTTGTAATTAAAAATCAAAGGCTATTAAAAATTAATTTTTTTAAGTACTTCGTCAATCTGGGCTATTTTTTAATTTGTAAAATATTCATTTAGAAATGTTAATCTTTAAAATTGATGAGTGCCAAAAAATTACGCTTATAGTGCTTATTCATTAAAAAAAATAGATATTACAAACTTTCTTATTAAAATTAGCGTTTGTTTTTTTTTAGTTGTAACATCTGTAATTTTGTATTTATCACGAAAGTAGAAAATTGAACGTTGATTGTAGAATCTTTCAATTTCGATGCTGCGAGAGAGAGAGAGAGAGGGGGGGGGGGGAGAGAGTTGAAAAATAATGCAATTAATGACGTTTAAAAACGTTGCAAATCTCGTTTTCAGGCTATCGTGCAGGCAGAAGGACTCGATGAAAACTTTACTCTGGGATTAGCTGCGCTATTGGCCGGAGATTTCGCATTGCTACCGCCAGATACGAAATTGAATAAAGTCGCCCCTCCAGGCTGGTTAAACACCGGTAAGAGCAAAGGTCTACTGGGACTTCCGGCAAGCTTTATGCTCTACTTAAGGCTGAGATTTTTCCTTCCTTCGCTCCGTGGAATAAGGTATTTTAATTTCCTTCAAACACTTTCGATTTAATTAAAACATGAATTATCCAAGGTTTATTGAGAACGAAAGTATTATATATAAGTATAGAGAGAGAGAGACTCTTTAAAAAATTCTTCAATTTCCTCTCTCATAATGTTCAATCTCAACATTTTATCGTTTTTTTAGTGACTCATAATGAGACGAGACTCTCATTTATCACACTTATTTTAATTATTATAATTATGATCAAAATGAAGAATCTCAATATTTTTTATAATCAATTTTTCAAATCGGACAAAGGTCGATAAGAGCTCATGAAATTTAACATTGATTTTTTATGGGGGTAACAATTAAAATCTATATAAATAATATAAATTTTAATTGTTACCCCCATAAAAAATCAATGTTAAATTTCATGAGCTCTTATCGACCTTGCTTTAGTTTCACTATTTTTATAAAACAAGTCAGATATTATTATTTTGACACTAAAGGTTGAATCTTAAAAATTCGTCTTTCTCCACTGATCTATTAAATTTACATGAATATTCAATATTTTAGTGTCTAGTGTCTATCAAGAGAGTGAACTAACGCACAGCCAACCCATTACTCGTTAGAAGCTACTCGTTAATGTCCCATCAATCTCCCATACGCAGCTCGATATGTCGAGAGCAAGCAAGAACGATGATCACAACCTGGTTCACGTTCAGCCCTCAAAGTGAAGGGTATTAGTTCTGTATTCTCTTTACGGGTTTAGGCTCAACTTTGTTCACTCTAATGCAGACTATTAAATTAAAATTCAACATAACTTATTTATTTCATATCAATGTCAAAAGTACAAAAAGAATTTTCCATATAAAATGATTCCATCGAAATTAATTATACCTTGAATAATTTTCTATTATCCATTCTCTAATATATATGGGTGATTCTTCACGAAGCGTACAATTCCATGTCCCTTATGTTTTTTAAGAAATAAATTGTATATATATTGTAATGAATCCAACGTGAAAAAGTAACTTTAGTGTTTACAAACAAAAGCCTATAGCCACTTTAATTTATAAAATTAAAGAGCCAAATTGTCCCCAGTGTCATTTACGAAACAAAAATAAATATTTTTAGCAATAAACAATAATAAAAATTATTATTGGTGTAACATTTTTTTATTGTCCAAGTTTGTATAGAATTTAGAAAAAAATTGGTTGTTAAAAAAATTAATTTTGATTAAAATTTTATAAAAATCAAATCAGAATTTAATTATACTTTATCATAAGTAACAATAGAGTTCCCTCAAGCGATTATCTACGATAGAAAGTAATTTTATGATTGATTTTTTTTTTGTTTTTACACTTTTAAAGCGCCAATTTTATACATATATAGAGAATCACAGAATCATCAAGCCTTCACATATTTTATAATAAATCAATAAAATTAAATTTTTCTTTTATTAAATACTGTGTAGTAATATTATTTCAATGAATATAAATTGACAAAAATGCGAAACCGATTGAAAATTGCTAATAATTTCTTTAAAAAAAAATTATTAATTGTGTTTTAAATTAATTAAAAATTAAGATAGAATTTTTTAAAAATAATTCACAACATTACAACATATTATATTTCTATTAAATTTTTATAAATTACCACATAAATTTCCATAAATTACCTACCCTACAAATTTGCAAAATTAGTTTTTAAAATTTTTCTTTTATATATTATAAATAAACTTTAAAATTTCATAAATTATCATAAATTTACATAAATTACCAAATAAATTATCTGCATTATAGTTTTTTGAATCTTGAATTTTGTATTATTATTATTATTATTAAAAATTATTAATTAATTATTATTAAAAATTATTTCAAATTTTTATTAAGTACCAAAATATCTCATTATATTACATGGATGCATTTACATCTAATTTATTTAAAATATACCAAAATTATAAACAATTTGTCCGGCCCATTACAGATATTTCATTCTTGACTATCATACTTCAGGGTGTCTACTAGTCCTGGAAGTCCTGGAAATCCTGGAATTTTAATTTTTGTCCTTGAATTTATTATATTTTGCTTTTGAATTTTCAAAAATTTCTAATTTTGTTAATCAAGTTAGAAAAAATTTATTAAATAAGTAAAATGAAAATTTACTAAGTAAAGTAATTAATTAATTTTTTAATAATTTCTGAAAACAATAGTTAAACTAAAAATTTTTTTTATTCCTTAAAGTCATCCAATTTAATGTCCTGAAAAAATAAGAAATTTGTCCTCGAAAGTCCTGGAAAAGTCATGGAATTTTAATTCAGATTTTTAGTAGACACCCTGAATACTTGAAAGTTATATTATGATTTTAATTTCAATTGAAAAAAAATTCTATATAATAACAAAAAGTCAGAAACCAAATTTTACGCTAAGCGGAGAATCATCCATATATTATAATCTTTACGCATTATTATAATTCGATTCGAAATTAATAAATTTTCATATGGTTCAAAAATTAAAAAAAATAATAATAATCCACTAACAATTTTGAAAATAATTAGAACGGAAGAAATATTTTGAAACTCGTGCTTCCACTTTCAGGACATTTAAATAGAATAATATTTGCAAAAGTAAAACTTGACTTTAATAAGTCAGCCAAAATCTTGTAGGGAAGTTTAACTTTTCGTTTCGTGTACTAATGTAAAGTGTAGTATATATATATATATATAAATATTTCAGAAGCCTTGCTTATACACATCTTACTGACGGGAATTCAAGATTTAATTAATTTCCGCGAAAAAGTACGCTCGTAACACTCGACTGCACCCTCGTGACAAACTTAGTAACGCCCCATTAACTTTCTTTTTTTTTCACCATTTTCAACCAACCCAGCAAAATAATTTATGGGCGAAATACCGAGAATTTATTCCGCAGAGAAGAGAGCCGCTTCAACCTCATAACCTATGACTCTAATGATATCAAAAATGCAAATTTCATATACATACATTCTTAAACCTTGAAAATGGAGAATTTCGCCAATTTTTCAATATATAGGATAATTTCTGCAAAAAAAAATCAAATTGTTTTTGAATCAACTTTATTTTCAATATCATTTAAATAGATTATATTTGAGAAAATTGATTTTCTTAAAAAAAAAAAAATAAAAAAAAAGTGGCTACGAAATATGATGAAATTGTTTAAAAGTTAATGTCACAGTAGAATAAATAGTAATAATAATAATAAATGTGGAAGTAAATTGCTTTTAGATAAATAAAGCGAAGTTCAGATTACCACAGTTACAGTAATTAGCGATAATGGCACTGATCCATAAATTTTTGTTAATTGAGTTTTACCGTTATAAAATATCGAATATAAATGATATATTTGAGGTTTCACAAGTTCTCAAAATTGTTCACATTTATGTTAAATATTACTTTGTTTAGTAAATACTAAATTGATGTTTAGCCAATTTCCTAATAATGTATAAATTCAATTTAAACTCATTTTTTTTATATATAAATTTTAAAACTGATTTTTAAATATAAAATAATAAATATATATTCTGGAAATAATTTTTAAAAATTTGCTGAAAAATTATTATTATTATTTTACTATAAATGAATTTTAACCCTATTTTTATGCTTTAATAAATGACTATAAAGAACAAATCACAAGAAATAATGTCATAAATGGTTTTTTAAATTGAATTTCCATTTTCTGTTAATAGAAGCTGGACTTCGAAGCATCTTCTATACCTTCAAATTCGTCGATGTATATTAGAACAGCAGCTGGTATGTCCTTTGACGCAGCTAATTAATTTGACCGGTCTCGCTCTGCAGGCAGAGTTTGGAAATTATAGTGTCAATGTAAGTAAACATGACAAAATACAAAATATAATAATTCATCATTTTTATCTTCGAAAAAAAACATTTAAATAATTATTAGAAATTAATTTTTTTTTTACAAGAATCTTTAATAAATTCTTTGAAAATTATATATTACATATGATCAAAATGTATCGAACCTTTCAAAAAAAAAAAAAATTATCTAAATCGAATTTTTTTTTTTTTATTTTTAAACACAGAAAAAGTTGATTTAGAAATTTTTGTTTGGTTCTGGTACATTTTAATAGATATATATACAAAAAAAAAAATTTTCACTTTTTCTGCGCAATTTTGGAAAAAAAAAATTATCAAGAGAAAATATTTTTCAGGAACACGGATGCGCTGATTATTTTCTCCTGGAGCATTATATACCCGAAGCATTGATATTAAATCCCGATCATGATCAACAATACAATGATTTGTCAAGTAATGCGGAAAATTTAAAAAGACAATTACATCAAGCGCACAGAGATAGACGTGGTCTTGATACAAATAAAGCGGAAGAAATGTTTATCACTCATGCTCAAAATTTAATAGATTTTGGTTCACATTATTATATAGCGACAGTTGACGCTAAGGAATTAAGTAAAATTATAAGTCGGCAAAGAAAAATAAATGAACGAACATCACCCGTGGGACGTACATGTACTGAGGATATTTATGCTCAATTAAAACGCAATTGTCCCGCATTATCAGCTGATGGCAAAACAATGGAACCCTATACTGATGAGGAGAAAATAATTCTCGCCAGAAATCCAATTATTAACGATGATATGATATGCAATTCATTGGCAACAAGTGGAAAAGAAAGTGTGGAAATTGTCAATAATAATAATAGTAATAATAATAATAATTGTAACAACAGTAATAGTAAATTGAAAAAAACTGAAAGCGCTGTGTGGTTAGCAATTCATGGTGAGGGTTTAAAACTTTTTGAAAGAGGCGGTGGTCGTTTTCGTGAAAGAAAAGAATTGGCAAGATTTCAATGGAGGGATATTCAAACTTTAAGCTACAGTAAATCATGTCTTGTTATTTATACAAAAGTTAATGGAAAACGATGCAAGTTCAAACTTAGAATGGACCACAGAAAGTGAGTTTTAATTTCTCCTGGGAACATCTTTTTCAATTTCGATATTTAGTTATACTTTTCCTTTTTTTTTTTCTTTCTTTTTTACTTTCCTCATGTAGCAAAATTAGAAACTAGATATGAAGAAACTTTGCGATGTTCTCGACATGACAATTTTTCCTCTTTTTTTTTATTTGGTAAACTTTTTTTTGTATGAAAAAAGTTTTGGTACAAAAATTTTGAATTTTAATTGCTATAAAAAACTTTGATTTGATTGATTTTAACAATTTGGATTTCCTTGTAAAATTTTAATTTTATAGCAAGAAATTGAAAAATATTTTAAACAGCTTTATTTTGAAATTTATGTCAACAAAAAAAGAAGAAGAGAGAAACTTTTGCCCTATCAGTCTCCGGATAAAACAAAGTTTCTTTCGGAAATAAAGCAGCTTCTAAGCAAACATCGATCAATGTTTGTGCAGAAAGTATATATATATATATATATATATATATTATATACAGTATACCAAGTAATCCTCAATGCACTTACCTTTTATCATGGTTCACGAATTTAAAAAAAAAACTAACACTAAAACTTTATATGCCCTGATCTATGTTCTATATTTGTCGAAAAATAAATTCAAGTATTATTATTCTTTTTTTTTAGCAAAACTTTTTTTTATAAAGAATGTTTTTCATTGCAGGAGTTATTTTGCTTTCAAGCTGACGTCTTTACACCATCAGTTCTTTCTCAAACTTCGATCCGAAATATCTTCTCTTCAAGGACTAGCAAAAGGTGATTGCAATAAAGATTTACCGTTATTTACAAGCAACTTTGATAGTAAATATCTTTTACTTTTTTTTTTTTTTTTAACGGAAACTGTTGAAGTATATCGATAAAATATCCCACTCACAAAAAAAAGGAAATAAAATTACAACCGCGAATTCCACAAAAAGAAAAGTTTCAAACTTTAATATAGTTTTTATAGTATAAAATTGATCAATTTCGATGAGATATTTGCACAAAAGATTACACTTGAATTTATTAAATTGAATAATTAAATTTTAATTACAGAGATAAATATCAGAGAAGTAAATTTTAATTACAAATGAGAATTATTAATTTAGAAATTAATTAATGAAATATAAATGTCATGTTTTTAGTCTCTTTATCATTTTCATTGTATATTTTATGTAAATTTTCTCCTTTTACTTTAAAAAAAATTTAATTCATTCATTTGACTTCAAATTTTAACAACGTCGATTAAATTCACAATGTTTATGATCAATGATTAAAGAAAAAAAATTTTCAATCAAAAAATAATTTATTTTTTGCCTACAAATATTTCTTCTATAAATTTTTAATACAGAAACATTGCAAAAAAAGCTTTCGATACAAAATTTTAATAATTCAATTTAAATAAATTTTTTTTTAAATACTTTTAAAGTTTTTGTTTTTAAAGCGATTTTCCCTCAATTTTTAATTTTTTTGCGATTTTCTACGAATTGGCCCAAATTTCTCATGTATTCCCTTAAATTTTCTATTTTCCTTTCTCAATGTTTTTCTCAAACTGTTTGTGTTTAAAATTTTTCCTTCAAATTCTCTTTTTATTTTAGAATTTTTTAAAATTCTTAAACTGCTAAATAAACTAATTGAAACTTCTTGAAAAGTCCTTAAATTTTTTTTTTCAAAAATTGCCGAACACCATGAATAAGAGATAAATTCCAAAAATGCAATAAATAATATTAAATTTAAGAAAAGTAATTTTTTTCATTATGATAATAATTTTGTTGTTAATTTCAGATTTCGGTGTTCCATTGGTGATTGAGCCAAATTCACCGAAAGCAAAGCCCGAAAGTGGAAAAACAAAAATCTCAATTGCTAATGCAATAAAAAAACAAGAACCCGAATCAAGATTAAAGTATCCATTTCAATTAGAGGAGTATCAAAATAAAGAGAATGAAAATCCACAAAAAGATTTGTGTAATTGGCCAATGAACAATCAAGTCACGACTACAACATCACCGATTTGTTCTTCGCCAGATGAAGATGTTCTTTATGCCCAGGTGAATACACGCTTGGAACCGGAAGGCGAATCACGTGACACGGAAGATGAATCAGATCGTGATGGTTGTTCAGCAATAAGAAATCAAGCGATTTCAAGAATTTTGAATGGACCAAAAGTCCTTTCAGCTATTGAGGATCAAATCTATGGTTACGCGAATGTTGGACGCGCTCACAATGAAGAATACGTTTATTGTATTCCAAAGTTAATTTACTCGAGTGCAATTGAACGACTCGAAGTGAAATCAGAAAAACCCGAGGACATTTATGCGGCTGTTAATAAAAATCGAACGCCAAAGAAAAATTCACTTCCGGTACCCGAGGAAGTTTGGGACGTGTCGGATATCAAAGAGTCTTTGAATAAGGTGCCTTTCTTCTTCTTCTTCTACTTCTTCTCGATAATTTCATTTTTTTAACGTAATTTTTAAATTCTTATTTTTTTCCATAAATTTAATCATTTTGTTTGAACTTTCTTAATTTTTAATATAATAATTATACATTTTAAAATTTATTTTAATTAGACATTCAATTTTAACAATCGTTCAAGTACAATTTTTTTTTGAATTTTTCAAAATTTGAGAATTTTTATGATTTTTTATGTTTTAATGCTCTTGATTGCTTTTAAAATGCATCAATTAAAAAAAATTTTTTTTTTTTTGAATTATGTATTTTTACGTGAACTTCTCGAAAATTCGATGCAAAACATTCTAGAAAAATTATTTACTAAATTTTTTTTACAATTTTTTGGTGGGTAAAATTAAATTAAAATTTTAATAAATTAAATTATAAATAAATATAATATGCAAAATTTAAAGCAAATTTTAGACGAAAGTTGTAGATTTTATAGAAATTTATTTTTTATATTCTATGCAATTTTTAAAAATTTTGCATATACCTAACCCAAAAACGAAAAAAAAACCCACAAATTTTAGGTCTCTTTTTTTTTTATTTTCACTATAAAAATCAAATTTGCGAATATTTCTACTATGATTTTCGTAATCAACGCATTAAAATATAAAAAATTTACGTAGTCTTATAAAAAAAAAAACTTGATGTAGTTTTAAAAAAATTCAAAATTTCAAAAAATTTGAAAATATTGAAAAAATGTTTCCCTACGAGCGGACCAGGTTTTAAATTTTTGTAATAGGAAGAAGTATTCTTTGAAAATCTTTTGAAAATTTAACCTTTAATTTGCAAAAAGAATGGAAAATTTTTTAGAATTTTTTGCATCGAATTTTAGAAAAGTTCACGGAAAACAAAGAATTTAAAAAAATTTAATTGTTGAATTAATTAATTTTTAAGGAAATCATCAGCATTTAAAAATAAAAAAATTATTAAAATTCAGAAATTTTTGAAAAATTCATATCTTGTAAACATTTTGATAAAAAAAATTGGAAAAAAATCATGAAACACTGTTTTGTAGAGTACTAAAAGTTTAAAAAAAAATTTGTCAAATCGTAAATGTCAAAGTGGATATGATAAATGATATTTAAAATTTTTTATTATGAAAATTAAAATTGATGAAAATATAAAAATTTAAATATTGCTTCACAGGCAAAAACGTCGAGTTTACCAAATTATGGAACACCAAAATCAAGGCAATCGAGCGGATTTCGAACACCTAGTTTACCACGACGTTTGGGAGTAAAAATGGGAACTCGCGCTATTTACAGCAGTAGCAATATGTCGCAAAAGGATATCTCCCTTGCCGACGATTTAGAATCTCTATCGTTGAAATCCGACACTGCTTCGTCGATGCAATCAACGCCAGCACGATCGGTTGAGTCGCCAATGCCAGAAGCTTATGTGTTAAGTACGTTTTCCCCTCAATGAATATAAAAATTAGCAAAGTATTCAAAAAATCAAATTATATTTTTCATTTTAAATAATTAGATGATATACGATAAGAAAGAAAAAAAAATTCCAAATATTGGTTAAAAATATAAAAACTATTTTTTCTTTTTTTAATTTTATATTTTAAGAATAATTATTTTTTTCAATGTCAATATTTAAATTTATTTTCACAAGTATTTAGATACAAACATTTTCTTATGTTTGAACAAAGTACGAAAAATGAAAAGACAATTTTAAATAGAAGAAATAAATAAAAAATTAAAACAATTACTTTCGATAAATTGTAATAGATCAAATAAATGATAAACTCAAATAAATGATTAAAATTATAATGAAATTTAAATTCAAGTATATAGAAAAATGAAAAAAATGAAATAATTTTCCCGTGTCTTACAGATGCAGACATTCGAACAGCGAACGAGACTTTTCGAATACAAGACGAGGAAACTATGTCATCATCTTTGGTGGCCCGATTTGAGGAAATGTCATTCACAGAAGAGCGAATACTTCATGTGATAAAACTTGAACGCGGTAATGGAGGAAGTATAGGATTGCAAGTGACCGAGGGAAACGATGGAGGAGTTTATGTTCAAGCCGTTTCCGTTGGAGGATCGGCCGATATGACTGGAAACATAAACAAAGGTATAAAACGAAAGTTTCTTCAAACATTTTATGTAATCTAAAATGTGTAAAATAACTCAGTTTTAATAACGAATATTCTCCAATTTTAATAGGCGATCGAGTGGTAGCGATAAACGGTCAAACTTTAATGAATCTTGGTTATGAACATGCACTTAAATTATTGCAAAGTTCATCTGAAACTGTGGAATTAGTTCTATCACGAGCTGCTTCAAATCGAGTTGAAAATCACAAAAATTTCCATCGTATTCAACAAAATGATGCCAATTATCTTCAGTAAGAATTTATTTTTAAAAAATTATAAATTTACTATTTAAAAGAAAAAAAAAAAATTAAATTCCATGTGTGTTTAATTATTTTTTTCAGAAGTATCAGATTCAATGTCTCATCAGAAACTGATTATTGGAATATGTCATCAAAATGGCTGGGAAATGAAAAATCTGATGTGAAAAATCATTGGGATTCACACAATAGTTCAACTTCAACGACGATTGAAAATTATCCTGTAAATGAAACTTACACCATAGCTAATAAAATCGATCCCTATGCTTTGCAATCTGCCAGCATATTGGTTAGTCTTGAGGATTTAGACGTGAGCCGAACGAGTCAACAAGTTTTTATCTAGTGCCGTCAGAAGTATTTTATATATGGTAAAGTTTTTTTCATTTTTCATTTCAAATTTACTTTTTTTTCAATTCATTTTATTTACAATGTAAATACGCTAACAGATAAATAAGAAAAAAAATTATTGACACAAAATGAAAATATTTAATATTATTTTATGCATTTTTTGCATTCTGGGGTTTTTTTTTTTTAATTTTTAAAAAATAAATTTATAAAAATTAATTAGAAATTTTTTTTCAAATTCATTATTGATTCGTCACGTGGTTTTAAATTTAAAAAGATTTACCCCATTTACTAAAAGTATAAAATATCCAGCAAAGTTTTCTGTTTCACTTTTCGGCTTCAAAAAAAAGAGCTTTTTATTTTTCATCTCTTTTCCTTTCTGCACACGTTTTAGACTCTTTTTTTACACACAGTTTACTATTAGTATCAATAAAAATCCAGAAACTTGAGTATAAAAAAAGGGAATAAAAATGAAAAAAAAAATGGAGAAAACGTAACAGAGAAAGTAATTTAAAAACAAAATAAAAATCGAAAAATCGGTCAGGAGAAAATAAATGAAATCGAGACGAAAAAAACTTTTGTTAAATTATTAATTTATTCATAATAATGATAATAATAATAATAAATAAAAAAAAAGAATTGATTTTTAATTTTTAGGAGTCTGGAGTTGCATAAAATCATTAGTGAAAGTGACTAACCCACAACTAATTGAATTGCTCTTTTTTTATCCGATTAACGAAGCCTTCTATCTACAGGGCTCTTAGTGTTTCCTCCTTATCTTATTCTCTCTATTTTTCACTCTTTGTAAAATATCTCTACAAATTCTTTGAGAACATCAGCAACGACAATATATATGTATATAAAATTCAATCACTCAATCAATTATCCTCTATACAAATTGAGTTTAACTTTCGATATTAAATTAAAAACTCTCGTTTCGTTTAAACACCAATAAACTAATTAAAATTCATTTATTAACAATTTATTTATCAGCAAATATTAATTAACCCAAGTGAATAACGAAATGTATTATTCAATAAACTCACAAAACATTAAATTAAAAAAAAAAATTAATCACGCACTAATAAATTAATTATTTTATTGTGTTTTTCTAAAATTATACGAATTCAAATTTAATAAAAATTTCTAATTACTCTAATTTTCAAATAAATTATACTTATTTATCAGATGGAAAATAATTTGTTAAATAAATAATTCATGACAATTTAAATGAAGAAAAAAAAAAAGTCGGACTTTTTAAAAAGTGTCTTTTAAAAAGCAGAATAAATTAACAAACAGATGAGAGAAGTATATAATATATAATCGTTTTCCATTTCTGTACAATTAACTTTTTTTTTACTCTTGATAAATATCAGGAAGCAAAAATTATTCCATTTACAAACGTTTAGACATCGCAATAAGTTTTTCGTTGAATTTTTTTTTTTCTGTTCTCCACTTAAACAAGTACAAATGAGTTTTTAATTATATATCCTGGAACACTATATGGCACTGATTTTAATATAACGACACATAATTAAGTCGTTGTTCTTGACAAGTTTTTTTTTCGTCACTCCTTCTTCTTTCTTAAATTGAATTTTATACCAACAAAATTCGAAACTTTTTTTTTTTTTAATTTCGTTTCTTTGCAATTTTTTTTTCCCCATTCTTGACATTCAAAATTTAAATTATTTTTCAATTTTAATAAATAATTTATGAAAAAAAAAAATAATGAATAAAATAAAAATCTTTGCTAAAACAAATATCAACAAAATTTTTAGGAAAAGAAAATAAAAATAAATGAAAAAAAGGAATGTTTCTGATTTTTAGAAAAATAAAATAAAGTCTTGGGAAATGGGACTTGAGGTCAGAGGACTAGAATTTCTTGCAAGAAGAGAAGACTAGTTTTACTTATATAAGTGTTATTGAATCTTCACATGACGATCAAAGTTAACACGCGCAAGACATTGTCGGTTGAAAAGAGGTAAATGAGAGGGGTGTGGAAGGGGGGGAGACGGATCGAATGTCACTTCTAAGGAATCACCTTTAGTATCTTACCGATGGTCTATCCTCGTGGCCAGTGTCGCGTTTTTTACGTTACCTTTTCATCGCGAACAAATAGTCAACGGCAGGGATTTTGCCCGCAAAGAAAACATTATTTAATATGAATAAATGTGAGCATTGCGATTCACCTTTGCCTTTATCTCAATTACATACGTCAATAGTTTTTCTAAAACCACGTTTACCACAATAAAAAAAAAAAAAGGAAAAAAAACTCAATTCAACCTTCGTAATCTCTAATTTCCAATTACTCTAAATTTAAATTCTAAATTTTTTTTTTCTAATTATAGAAATTAAACAATTTTTTTTTCTAAATTTAAATCAATTTTTCCACTGTTATTTATAATTATTATTATTACAAACATAATAATATTAATAGTAAATATTTAGGAAATAAAATAAATTCAAAGAAACTATTAATTATCAATAAATTAAAATTATGTTATTAAAATAAAAAAATTTTTACTTTTCTTTGCAGATGAGATTGATCCACAACCTCCGCCGATTCCTCCACGAAGAAAGAAACGAAAGAATAATAATCTTTCAATGAGCATAAATTCTGAAATGATTCGGGAACCATTTTCGGGACCTAGGAGAAAACCTCGTTTGCCTCCGCCGCCGCCACCACCACCGCCAGTACAAAAAGCTCGTGAGAAAAGAAATTTACTAAAAAATTCTCAACATCTGAGAAAAATAGAAACTGACGTCGAGAGTAATTCATTAGTTGAAATAAATTCAAAAAGCAATCCCCACGAAAGAACAACGTTCAATATCACTGGTGAAAATAGAGAAAATAAACAAAATTCCTCACCAAAACGCTATTCACCATTTTTATTCACCTATCAAGATTTTCAAAGTGTCATTGGCGAAACAGAAAAAAATGAATCAATCATCAATAAAGAGAAATTTCCATCAAATAATTTAATTGACGAGAACAAAGTCTGCTTTAGAGTAACGACCACTAATATTCCATTTGAAAAGTGCCTCGGAACATGGCAAAATTCATTTGATAATCCCGAATTTAATGAGTCAAATCTTTTTATATTCGACGATTATCTCGATAGAAATAAACGAATGCAGGCAAGACCCGATTTATTTCGTTTAGAGAGCTTAGAAAATAGTTCCAATGATTTTCTACCAAATACATCCAAAGTTCGATTTGTCATCGAGTCACCAAGTAATTCAACACCCGATGAAAACGCCGATATCACAATGGACAGTTTACAAAATTTAGAATCACTCAACAATGATCTTGAGGAATTGCAAAAAATTCAAAATATCTACGAATCCATTCAACATTCAACAGAGAATCATAAAAATTCAACACCATTCGATTCATTGCTGTATGATTCAAATAATTTTAATTTAATGCAAATCGATTCACAATCACTTGATGAAAAACCAATTGTCGATAAGAATGATGAACCATTTTTTTCTTTAAATGAAATTTCAAAATTTGAAACAAACGAAAATTCATCAAATTCCAAACATTTTTTCATTGAAACTATTACAATGGAAGAAAATTCGGAACAATTAAAAAAAATCGAAAGATTTAAATCGGAAAATTCCAATAGTGATAGTTATGAAGATGCTACTCACAATTCGATGGAATTTGAAGAGAAAAAAAATTATGCAAAAAAATTTCTCATCAATTCTTCATTATGTGATTTCATTAATAACGATAGTGATAATAATGCAAAATGGAATTCATCGTCGGATGAGGAAAAAGAAATTCAAAAATCACCAATAAATCGAAAAGAAACAAAAATAAATGAAATAAAATTAGAAAATTTTCAAAAAATTCCAAAATCTCCAATAAATCAAAAAGAAATAAAAGAAGATGATAATGAAAAAAAATTGGAAAATTTTCAAGAATTTTCAAAATCTCCAATAAATCAAGAAGAAATAAAAAATGATGATAACGAAAAACTGGAAAATTTTCAAGAAATTCCAAAATCAATGCCAATGAGTGTACGTCGAAATTCATTTTTAGATAAAATGCTGACAAATAATGAAGAAGAAATATCATGTGAAGTAATAGCAATTCATCGAAAATTGAATGAGTACCAAGAAGAAGAAGAAGAAGAAGAAATTGAATCTAACAAAATTTTATCAAGAGAAAAAAAATCATCCCCAATTAATGATAATAAAAATGAAAATTCATTGAAAAAATCAATTAACGATGTAAAATGTGATGTACTCAATGAACTGTTGTGCAATTTTAGTGCGATCAAATTAAAAAGCATAAGTAGTAAAATAATTGTGAAAAATGATGACAATTCAATAAGTGCCAATCATGAAAAATTTGTGAATAAATGTGCGCGCGAACAAATGACTAATGACGATGAACTCCATCAAGTGGTGAAGAACGATGTAAGCGCAAGTGACAAGGTCATTTATTCATTTGATGCCTTGCCGTGCGCCACAATTCAGATTGCTAGTGTCGATAAGTGTGCCATAGATAGGAGATGTCCCAAAACCTTAAATAATAATAACAACAATAATATTAATAATAATAGTATTAATAATAATAATAATAATAGTATTGACAATAATGCGAAGACTCCCATAGCCCTAAGTACCGACCAATCCCACGACGCTTTTTCAATAATTCCCGGTAGTGTTAGAAATTTTATTAAACATTACGAAATTAATCGGGAAGTCACTTATCAGTGTTTTAAGACTAAGGAGAACGTTTCTAAAGAAATTGATAGTGAATTCAAAAGTAAGGAGAAACATTACAGAAGAATGGAAAGTGATTTTAGAAATAAGGAGAACGAATCGGAAAGCGATTTTAGAAATTCCATTCCCAATAATGAATATAGTTACAAAAATATGAAAAGCGAGAATCCTCCCGAGGACGAGGATAGTGAATTCAAAAATAAAAACAGCTCTACAAACAAATGGAATAATTCCAAAATTAAGGAAAGTGATCCTAATAAAAACAATTTTCAATTTAATGAGAATAATGCTAAAATTAGTGAAAACGATTCTAAAATAGAAAATGATTCAATAGTCAAGGAGAACGATTCTAGAAATGAAAATGAATCTGAAATAGCGAATAACGATACTATTATAAAGGAGAAGACTTCTAAAATAAAGGAGAACGATTCTAAAATGAAGGAGAATAATTCAAAAGCAGAGGAAAATTATAAATCAAATGATAAACAAGAGATTGCATTTATTGATTTGGTGGATTTAAAAGAGAATAATAATAATAATAATAATGATGATGATCGTTGTAAATCGTTGGAGGTGATGATAAATTCAAAAGAAAAATTAGATACACATTTGAAAAATTCACGACCCCGTGTTACAATTGGTCGAAGGCATTCTTGTATCAAGAGCAATGACACGTCCCCTACTTCTGAATTTAAAAAGAGTGTGCAATTTGATAGTGCGTGTACGGTATATCAATTACAAAAACATGAAGAGAACACCACAAAGTCATCGTTGATCAATGGAATTCGATCACGAATCAAAGGTAAAGCGCCTAACAAACCGGAAATGCAAATGCCCATTACATTCAAGACAACATTGCGCTCAGACGATAGTTGCACACCTGAAGTTCAGGTAAGACCATTATTTTATCATATCATGTTTATTTATCAATGAATTTCGATAAGGAAACATCGCGACTGGTTTTACAATATTTATTGTTATCGTTTTATTTGGATTAGTATTATTTTTTTATTACTTCTTCTTTTTTTTTTATTTTTATTACAATGTTGCTTTTTTAAACCTGTTTGCTAATTAGTAAAATAACCTTCAAAACATTTCCGTTTTGTATAAGTGTAAAAAAAAATTTTTATCACACTTGTTGACTTTTAATTCAATTATAAAAAAAAAAGAATTATAAAATTCAATTCTAAAAAAATAGAATTATAAAATTCAGTTAATAAAAAAAATTATAAAATTCAATTAAAAGAATTCAAATTATAAAATTCAATTATTTTTACAAAATTAATGTACAAAATAATGTAATTTTAGTAAAAAAAAAATTGAGAATATAAATTATTTAATATTAAATAATTTTTAAAAATATTTTTCGAAATTTTGAAAAAAAAAATTTTAACAATATTATCTTTTTAAAAAAAATACTTTCTTTTGATAAAAAGAAAACAATTTCAGACATATTTCTTTTTATTTCTATATCAAAAATTAAATTACAAATTTCTGTATTATAAAAGATATTTTTTTAATTAAACTTGAAAAAGATGAATCTCTATAGTTTTTTTCATTTTCAGCGAGAGTTATATGTTTCTAAAAGTCATTAAAGGATTAAAACTCGAGTGCTTTAGGATCAATTAATTTTAACTAAAAGCTCATATTTTCTTAAACGCTAAAAGCTTTGACAATTATATATCTACAACAAAACAAAACAAAAAATTCACTATTTTTTTTATAAGAGAGAAGTTAATAAAAAAAAAAATTAAATTAAAAAAAATTGCTGACAAAAATGATAAATTTTTGTCTTCATTTCATTAACAGTTTTTAAATTATTTCATTTTTCAACGTAAATTTTTTTTTATATATTACTGATGAGAAATTTAACAATTGTTTCAATTAATTTCAAAAAAATATAATTTTATAAACCAATGATCAATATAATAAAAAAAATTATTATTTATATATATATATATATATATATATTTAATTGAAAACAAAATTCTTTGTTGCAGAATGAATCGGAAGTGGAAAGTACAGGAAACACTTCGAAATCAGGTACAGGCCATTTGGTCCCTAAAAGTGAAAATTCTCGACACAATCAAACTTTTGTTTTTTACTGCAAGGTGTAAAATTCGCGTCACGTCCTCAAATCATTTTTCAAAATATGCAAAAGCCACCTTTTTTTTATCTTCGTAACATCACCGAAAAAAAGCGAGCACATTCTTAAAGGCAGTCCTATTTTTTAATATGTATAAGTACCTAAACAACGTACATAATATTAAAATAAAAATTATTTAAAAATTCAAGTAAACCGAAAAAAAATAGAAAAAATTTTCGATATAAAATTTTTCATTATTAAAGAAACAAGAAAAATTATAAAAATAATTTCATTCCGAAAGAAAATTATTTTTTAAAGAAGTTTGAAAAAAAAATGTTTGTGTAAAGACATTTCAAAAAATTGATTAATTTTTTAAAAAAGGAAACATTTTTTTTATTAATTTTTTAAAATAATTTTCAGCAGTTTGGCGATTTTTAAAATAAATAATCTAAGCACCTCATCAATTGTTGACAATAAAATCAAATCTCATGAATCAAGTAATGAATCATTTTTATCATATATATATATAGAAGAATATATCACTCGACTTTATAGTTCCGGTTAAAAGTTTCATCTTTTCAACGATATTTCATGATGCAACTTTATTTTACTGTTCTTTTCAATTTTCCCTGGGAAAAAGTTTATTGAAAAATGAAAAGAAAAATGTATATTAAAAAAAAAAAAATGTAAAAAAACAAATAATCAATAGGACTGCCTTTAATTATTGTGGTTTTAAAAATTTATATATACATTTCTAGTTTGCGGAACGAGTTACCGAGAATAATGTTCGTGATAAGCGATTCGCGCGCGACTAGGCGCGCGTTCATGGATAATTAATCTCATATGAATACTTTTAC